CGCATAAAGCATGTGCATAAGGAATTTCATTGGTCCATTTTCTTATGCATGAGTCAATGGACCAATCAAATTCTTTATGTATATGGTTTATGCGTTATGCAAAAGTCTGTGCTCCCCGCTTTACTGGGGAACTTACCCATTTCGCGCATGCGCACTCCGTTTTTACCAACATAAAGTCAGGAGAGTTTCCATACTGCATATACTGTGGTCTCAGTTTGTGATCGGGGCCATTTTTTAGACTGCTTTAGTGCTTTCAGGTTTCTTTTCTGTCTTAACTTTTCGTATTGTAACGACTAACGAATATGCAAGAATCTTCTAATTAAGAAAATATTATCCATATGTATAATCATGGAAAATAAGAATAAAATACAACATCTTATTGTTGATACAAGCGCTTTCATACAAAATGCTGCTTTACAGGTAATTATTGAGATTAATTAAAAATATATAACGAAAGATTACATTATTGGCATGTTAATTATCTATATAAATATATTTGATTATATATATAATTTTCTTAAAATAAATTTTTATTTCTTTAACTAAAAATTTTGAAATTAGACTAAAAAAAATTTAATAACATTTATCTCTTATTTTTTAATTAATATAATAGTTAAGCTGAATTGCATCTAAAAAATATTGTGATAACCTTTAAATCTTGTTATCTCTGATTCTGGCTTAGGTAAACATATTACTGGCATTTTTTAATATTAAATTATGTATAGTAATCTAACTTTTATATTAAAAAATATTCAATTTCAAGAAATGTTAAATTTCTTGCTAGTAGTAAGTTAATTTATGTTAATTCCTTCATTATATAGGTAGTACTTCTTTCACATAATGTCTGTTCTACAATAGAGTCATAAGCCATAAGAAATTAAGCAATCATAATCAAATATTTTTTTTATATTTAACTATGATTGACCAATTTCTTACAACTTACGACTCTATTGTAGAACAGGCTTGAGTAATATATTAATATAAACATTTTATTCTTACATTTTGTATTCAAATTTAGATAATTATTTAATTTAATCCTATTCAGCAAAAAACATTTATTAGAATTCTTTATTACGACCGTCAATTATAAATTAACAAGAATAAGGAAACCGTAATAATTTACGATTTACTAAGCCATCTACGGTCAAAGCTAGATTACTATGCTTATTATAATGTGTGAATTTAAGTGTTGTTTAAGTGTTACGTTGTAAGTCTGAAAAATTTTCGGCACGTGATTGGTGACTACATACGCGGTATATAAATTCACACATTATAATAAGCATAGTAATCTAGCTTTGACCGTAGATGGCTTAGTAAATCGTAAATTATTACGGTTTCCTTATTCTTGTTAATAAAAAAACATTTAAATTTTAAATGAAGGTAATGTTGAAACTGTCTGTAATATGATCTTTTATTCTATGAATATACAGGTTATTCCCAGGTTAAGAACACCAAACTGAAAATATAAATTCAGAACCTGAAAATAAACAAAAATATTTCCCTGGATGTATGCTCGCAATAGCTTCGTTCAAAAAATATTTATTTTTGAAGTTATAGAACTGTAAAAATGAATAATGTCGAAATAATGTTGAAATATAATAAGATCTGTCTTTATTGCTTTACAATAATCAAAATTTAATTATTAAATGTTTTGTTTAAAATAATGACCTCTAGCCTAGTGACAAGCATTACATCTATCAATGAGAGAACGAGTGGCTCACTAATAGTGGCTCATTGTATGTCTGTGGATTTAACACCATTAGATTTTTTTGCATGACGTAAAAGTGTATGCCCAGTATCAGTTAATAACCTTCAATTATTAAAATAAAATAAAGAATTGTGCAAGTGTGTGAAGAAATTATGGACACACAATGTCAGTCAGCTACTCATTCGCTCAGATAATAGATGTAATACTTGTCTTTGAGTTGGAGATCATCATTTTGATCAAAACATTTAATAATTAAATTTTGATTATTAATAAGAATAAGATTCAATAATTAAAAACAGTAGAAATTAAATAGACTATGAGTCTAAGCTAGGATGTAAAATGCTCTTTAACATGAATAAAATATAAAATACAAAACTACAAATGTTTCTACTCTTATCGGATTATCATCAGTGTAAACAACATTTAAATATAAGTACAGTTACATATCAGAATTAGATTCTTTTGTACATAAAGTTGAAAATAAAAATTTTAACAGAATCTTAATTAGAATTTGTATATCTAGTGCAAGTAATTATTTAAAAAAAAAGAAGTTTTTCTTGTTATTCCGTGATTTTAAAAATATATATTCATGGTATTAAAGTTAGAGATTAAAATTATCCATTCTCTCATATCACATTGTCAAGTTATGGATCATTATGATATTGTATAATATAATATAAATTTTGATTATTGTATTTCAATTTTATTTCGATATTATTCATTCTTACATTGTAAATACCTCTTGAACAAAGCGTTTGCGAGCATACATTCAGAAGAAAATTTGTGTTTGTTTTCAGGTTCTGAATTTATATTTTAAGTTTGGCGGTTTAACCTGGGAACACCCTGTAGATAAATGCAAAAATATTAGTTTTAATCATAAAGTTGTATGTATATGATGTTTGCTTCATTGAGAGATTTGCAAACAAGACATCATTTTGTTCAAAGTATTTTATGGAAAATATAAAATATATTCTAGTTCCCTTCCATTTCCAATGAAATTTTAATTTAAAAACTTTATGTGTATAGGATATTGGAGTTAATATTTTGACTGAACAAGTTGTTGTGGATGAAATCATAAATAAGAGACAGTTGAGAAAGTTGGTTGTACTACCCTATGACTTAAAGGTTCAGGAAGCGTTTACTGAAAACGTAAAATTTGGTTAGTTAAACTTATTAGTAATTTTCTTGCCACCTAATACACACACACGCGCGCGCGCGCGCGCGCACCATGTGTACAGGAATGCACATGATTATAATGTTAATATTTGTTTAACACATTTACAGTGACTGAATTTTCAAAGAAAAGTGGCGACTATACCAGCCTGTCTGCTACTGACATCAAGGTAATTGCACTCACATATCAGTTGGAAAAAGAAAAGGTCGGGACAATACATTTGAAAAACAGTCCAACAATAAGAATTATTAAATCTACATCTGATAAGGATAAAGAAAGTAGAAATGATCCTAAACTGCCAGTTGGATTCTATATGCCGAAGAAAAAAGTAAGATATTTTAATTGTTTTTGTATATGTATAATTTTTATTAATCTAAATTTATATTCTGTGTCTAGGAGAGAAATGAAGTAGTTACAGATAATGTAACGACTTCTTCGAATAATATGGAAAAAGGAGATGTTATTAAAGAAGATATCAGACACGTACAGATTACAAATCATTCGGCGATAAATAATACAATAAATGGTACCGAGATAAATGATGTGGAAGAACAATTTACTTCTTACACATCTGCATCTTCGGATGAATCGCAATCGGATTATGAAACGGCGTCGGATAAAGATGATGATAAAACAAATGATTTAGCTGATAAATTTTCCAAATTAAAGTGCAATCCAACTGATTTAGAAATAGAGGGTATGGGTATGTATATTATGGACAACATTCTTGCTCCTGTTAATACAACGTCCAAAAGTGATGAATCCTTTAAGGATGAAGATGAATATGACGGTGACGATGACGATGAGAGTGGTTGGATCACACCAGGTAAATTTTATCACAAATATAACATTAATAGTCTTCATAAAAATAAATAATAAACAAAAGAGGGCCTGACAAAAAGTTGATATTTAATAATCTATCTTAAATACACATATTAGATATACAACAAACGTTTTGACTCCAATTGGGTCATTCTCAATGTTAAAATTTATAATAATTTAACAGAAAATCAAGTGTTTCATATGGATAAATTAACATATATATGTCTTTCAACATATTATTAAGATCCAATAAGATGCTATAAGCATCAAAAATTATTAGATTAATTGTCAATTTAAAAAATGTTTCAAATAAAAATGGAACTGTGTCGAGGGGTACACGTTTTAGTCACGTTGTTTTTTTTTCTAAGTGGGGATAGGCGCTAAAAAGATATGAAGGTCATCTCCACTTTTTTAAATGGAATTGTAATGGAATTATGTAATTTTTTTAGATAACGTGATTTCTCTAATTATTTTGCATATAAAAGTATTGAGGTAGAGATACCAAAAAACCAATTATTTTCGAGATATTTTACACTTTATTTTGATACATATTGACACAAAATGTTAAACAACTCGTAAACTGTTGACTTTTTGATTATCGTACCTTAATACTTTTGTAAACAGAATAATGAGATAAATCAAATGGTGTAAAGAAAACACATAGTTGCTTTAAAAAAGATATGTATACAAAATGGATAATTTTTAAATACGCAACTATGTGTTTTTTTTTACACCATTTGATTTATCTCATTATTCTGTTCACAAAAGTATTAAGGTACAATAATCAAAAAGTCAACAGTTTACGAGTTATTTAACATTTTGTGTCAATATGTATCAAAATAAAGTATAAAATATCTCGAAAACTATTGGTTTTTTGGTATCTCTACCTTAATACTTTTATATGCAAAATAATTAAAGAAATCACGTTATCTAAAAAAAATTACATAATTCCATTTTAAAAAGTGGAGGTGACCTTCATATCTTTTTAGCGTCTCCACTTAGAAAAAAAACAACATGATTAAAACGTGTCCCCCTCGACACCGTTTCATTTTTATTTGAAACATTTTTCTCTATATGGCTTAGATTACGAGAAATTCAGGTGGGGAAATTAAAATGACTCACCCGGTGGTATAAAATTGACAGTATCTTCTCTCTCTCAAAACCTGAGTATTGGGTGTCCAAAATTTATAAATTAATAACATCATAAGTTAAAAATCAGATAGCAGTCATTATATAAAATTCCGAATGCATACTTTGGATAATTTTTTTCTTTGTAATATGTATTAAAATATGGAGCAAATGCACACAGTGGTCTTTAAGGGTCAAAAGGTATAATGAAAATGTAGCGAAAAACGGACTTCACAGTTTAATTTGTAGTCATTTGAAAGTCAAAGAAATGGTAAACTTAAAATCGTGGCTGATCCCCTTTTCCAAATATCGCAAAAATGCGTTTTAATTTAATAGTACACGACAAATAAGCTCATAAGATTTTTTGTGCGTACCATTTTTGCGTGCGTGCGTGCGTGTGTGTGTGTGAGTTCGCATGTACGTGCGCAAGTGCGCTCGTGTATGTGTATGTGGATTAGAACATGAGGACCTCGACAACTTTGAAACGTTTCGAGTCATCCTATGATATATTGATACATAGTTCTAAAATTGCCGATAGGTGGTTTTTTAAAAAAATTAGTCCCATAAATATATATGGAATCTAATATCATTTCGTATATAGTAAGTAGCCTGTTTTAACACAGCATCCCGACAAATCATTTTTTGTCGCTTCTGGTCGTGACCTTCCTGTCAAATAATCTATCGTTTTATTTTGAAAAGTTATTGTGACAGATTTTAATACATTTTTATGCTCATTTGCGAATCTGATTAGCATGTAACAATTTCGGCATTGTATTTCATCGATTTCCAATACTTTTCTTCGGAACGATTAAACTGCGAATTTATAAAACGTTTGATAAGATTTTCTACCCTTACATTTATGAGAAATGAGTCCGGTTTCTTTTTTCCGAAGACGATTTTTTTCCCACAAGGGGCACATATTTTCTTCCGATTCTCTTCGTGAGAACATTTATCAACAGGCATCATAAGGTACTAAAAAAATCTTTGAAAAAAAGTATTGGAAATCGATGAAATACAATGCCGAAATTGTTACATGCTAATCAGATTCGCAAATGAGCATAAAAATTTATTAAAATCTGTCACAATAACTTTTCAAAATAAAACGATAGATTATTTGACAGGAAGGTCACGACCAGAAGCGACAAAAAATGATTTGTCGGGATGCTGTGTTAAAACAGGCTACTTACTATATACGAAATGATATTAGATTCCATATTTATGGGACTAATTTTTTTAAAAAACCACCTATCGGCAATTTTAGAACTATGTATCAATATATCATAGGATGACTCGAAACGTTTCAAAGTTGTCGAGGTCCTCATGTTCTAATACACATACACGAGCGCACTTGCGCACGTACATGCGACACACACACACACACACACGCACGCACGCACGCACGCAAAAATAGTGCGCACAAAAAATCTTATGAGCTTATTTATCGTGTACTATTAAATTAAAACGCATTTTTGCGATATTTGGAAAAGGGGATCAGTCACGATTTTAAGTTTACCATTTCTTTGACTTTCAAATGGCTACAAATTAAACTGTGAAGTCCGTTTTTCGCTACATTTTCATTATACCTTTTGACCCTTGAAGACCACTGTGTGCAGAAGACTTAAAAGTAACGCATACAATTGTTACAGCAGCTATATAAAAAATTTTTGTATATTTAATATGTATATTTAATATGTATATTTAAGATAGATTATTAACCTTCCATCGGGCATGGCTGATCTGAGTGATACACGGCACATGTCTTGTTTTACATAAATACATGTTCTACATAAATAAAATTACGTTTATGTTATTATTATGACCTTATATTACCTTTTCTCTTTATTTTAAGAATAAAATTTACTTAATATTTAATATTTTGATATAATTATAGTATAGTTTTAATAAAATATATAATTCAATTTCCTTGTGGACTCTCGAAAATTCAAACCAGAAATCCTATTAGTAGGATGAGACCCGATGAGAGTGCAACGTCGTTAATATCATTGTTATTTAAATGGAATAAATTTGTAATTTGAGGAAATTCACTTCTTATTACTTGCGTTCCAACAACAATGTTGCACTCTCATCGGCCCTTTACTAATTTGATTTCTGGTTTAACAAAATAGTTAATGCAATCAATTTGATACACCGCGCCCAACAGAAGGTTAAATACCAACTTTGTTAGGCTCGTATAGTCCTCTTTTGTTTATTATTTAAATTTTATCAGTTATAAAAAATTTATCAGTTATATTGAAGTACAAATTAATTCGGTCCGTTTTCGAAAAAATGATCCTCTCCAAAGGCGAGTCATTTTTTCGAGATGGAATTCGAAAATTGCCTGAGAGATGGGAAAAAGTAGTAGCCAGCGATGGACAATACTTTAATTAATCTGTTCATTCATTTTGTTTTGAAATAAATATATTTTTTATCACAAAAAACGGACCGAACTAATTTGTACATCAATATTTTTATGATGCAGAATCAATGCATAAGTGTACATTGTTGAAATATGGATGTATGTGTGTATATATATATATATATATTTTTTTTTTAAGTGAACCACGCTGTATATATATATTATTATACTTATTATTTCTACCACCACTGTATATGCAGGGTGTCCCATTTTTAATAATCCAGCCAAATATCTCGAAAACTAAACCCAGTAGACAAAAATGTTTCAGGCAAAAGTTGTTTGACTCGAAGGGGAACATAAGATGGTGCCATCGATTTGATCTTGGATAGTCCTCTGAAGGTTGCGTGAAGGTCACCTTTAATTTTTTAAATGGAACCCCTTATTTCTCATTATTGCACGTTCTTACAGCTCATCTCGAGAGCTTTCCAAAACACTATAATTAAGTTACTTTTCGTTAAGTACTAGTTAAGTTATAAAACAAGATCGCGGCTGATCCGGCATTTTGCGTACATTAAGTTACAAGATAAAGTAAGAGCCGATTTATTATCTTGGTTGATATTGGACGACTAAGACAAATTTACGCATTTACGGATCATATTTACTGTCCCCCCACTACCGCTCCAGACTCTACGCCCGAGCCGCCGATCGCGCGCGTAACGCTGAGCCTCAAAAACGTAGGCCCATATCTTCCATGAAATTTTTAATTATTTAGCAAAACTTTTTTTGCTAAATAATTATTACATTTACAAATAATAACTTTTATATTTATGAATTTAACGTACAAAAATTTATTATTAAAATATTAAATTATGTAAAGTAATTACACAGTGACAATCATAGCACATACAACCATTTACTTTATTAGGAACCCTATTTCTTATAATTCATAAAGAAAGAAATAACATGCTCTACTTATGTTTGTTATTTTATAAATAACATCATTTTTATAAATATTATTATTTATTCCCTAAAGTTTAGATGATATTTATTCTTTTTCACTGTTATAACTTAACTAGTACTTAACGAAAAGTAACTTAATTATAGTGTTTTGGAAAGCTCTCGAGATGAGCTGTAAGAATGTGCAATGAGAAATAAGGGATTCCATTTAAAAAATTAAAGGTGACCTTCCTCTGATTTTCATCACACGAGTCAATTAGTATCTTTATTCATTATATATTAACACATATGTTTGCAAATTGAAAAAGAACAACAAATGAGTTAGTGTACACCCACGGTAATTGATTCTGTCCCTCGGAAATTTTCACAAAATGAAAAGTGACCTCCTTTCTATATTAATTGTCACTATTCATGCACGATAAGATTCAGTCGTAACGTTAATCGTGCATGGATTGTGACAATTAATATAGAAAGGTGGTCATTTTTTATTTTGTGAAAATTTCCGAGGGACAGAATTAATTACCGTGAGTGTACCTATTATTTCTGCCACCACTGTATACACAGAGTGGTCCACTTAAATCGAACATCTTGAATATTTCGTTTATTTTTGATAATAACGAAAAAATGTTTCGAATGAAAACAACGGTGTCGAGAGAGACACGTTTTAGTCACGTTTTTTTTTCTAAGTGGAGGCGCTAAAAAGATATGAGAAGGTCACCTCCACTTTTTTAAATGAAATTATGTAATTTTTTTTAGATAACATGAGTCCTCTAATTATTTTGCATATAAAAGTATTAAGCTAGAGATACCAAAAAGCCAATACCTAGTTTACGAGATATTTTGTACTTTATTCTAACAAAAAATTTATTTAAGGAGATGCTCATAATGACGTCCTCGGACTTCAATATATTTTTGCAGACGATATTTAAATGATTTTTTTACCCTCTATCATTTCTGAATTTATACTTGCACATGCAGCCAAAATACGCACAGAAAGACCCCCTTCTACATATTATGAAAAAGAATATTGTATATAAAATTCAATGTGTGATTGTGATGCTACTTATGTTGGTCAGACAAAGAAAATGTTAAAAACGAGAGTAAACGAACATCGCAGTCATATACGGAGAAATACATCCTCCAGATCTGTTATTACTGACCATAGGTTGCAGCATAATCATGATTTTGAATGGAATAGTGTGGAAATTATGGATTGTGAAAATTTTTACCACAAGCGATTGATTTCTGAAATGCTTTACATTAAATCTCAAAATAATGGTCTGAATTTGAAAACTGACACAGAAGATCTTGATCGGTCATACGCGGATATTTCAGATAAATTGACAACACAGTAATTTGACCTAAGCCTTTCCTTTTGGTGTCGTTTATTTTAACGGTTCCTCATTATATCGTTTCTTTCTGATGAATATGGACACATATATGTATGGTCAGACATTCTAGTATGATTGAATTATGATTTTAATTGTGAAATAATGTGTTTTTCTACCAACAGAGTGTAAAAGAATTTCTTTAGTAATTTTTTCTAGACAATCTTGAATAGAATAATGTAATAATTTGATCGTAATAGATTTTTTGTGTTAACGGTTTTTTTTCATAGACATTTCCGAACTTTTGAAATTTTATTAGACATCTCCACATTATATATCAACGATGAATTTACTTCTAGTTGGTGCACAAGAACATTCTGTCAGTCAACAATAATTGTTTCTACAATTTGCATTCTAAGGGCCAATTTCACCAACGTCGGTTAAGCTAACCAACGGTTAATTCCAATGGAATTATTCAATCGCATTTGTCTTTGACCAGAATGAACCAATCACGGTTGACAGTTTAACCGTCGGTTAGCTTAACCGACGTTGGTGAAATTGGCCCTAACTCGGAGTATATGAAGTATTGTTTTATTATCGCTGAAGATGGTCTAAATTACAGACCGAAACGTTCGACTGGTAATCTTCATTGTAAGATTAAAAAAATTTTTCGCATTGTTAACTGCGTTCGACTCTTTATAGCCCTTTAATTTATGATTATTAATTTGTTTTGAACAAAAAGAGTCCATAATTAGTTTATATATATTTATTAAGATTTATTCAAGATGTTCGATTTAGGTGGACCATTCTGTATATATGTATATATAATTTCAAGAGTATTAATTTTTAATCGTTTATCTTTTCGAAAGCAAACGTTTCCAGCATAAAGAAGCAAGTGGATTCGGAAATTCTTGAAGAAAAGGCTGTGACCGTAGCGTGCTTAACAATGGATTTTGCAATGCAAAATGTACTCATGCAAATGGGCTTAAATGTTGTTGCATTAGATGGCAGAGTGATTAAACAGATGCGAACATTCATATTCAGATGTTATGCCTGTTTCAAGACCACTAGTATCATGACAAAGATCTTTTGCCCACATTGTGGTAACAGGACGTTGAAGAAAGTAGAAGTTACATTAGATGAAAATGGAAAGCAACAAATTCATATCAATTTTCGTCGACCTCTCTCAGTCAAAGGAAAGAGGGTATGCTATGTTATTTCTGATACAATCTATGAATTTTATGAATGCAAAAAAGTAAAATGGTTACAGTAAAATTAATAAAATATTTCAGTTCTCGTTACCAACGCCAAAAGGTGGGAAACACGCCAACAATCCCATTTTATGCATGGATCAACCGATGCCGGAACAACGTCCGTCACGTTTGGCACGCATAAAGAACGATCCGCTTGACGATAATTATATAGCTGGTTATTCTCCATTTGTTATGCGCGATATAAATTCCAAGTCAGCTATATTGGGCATAAGGCCGGATGGTATTATCAAATACTGGATGAAAAGAAACCCTAATGAATCTAAAAGGAGACGAAAATAAAAACTACTCATTATTAAATCAATGTTGTTATTTTGGATACTTACGAATCTTTCATTATTACGTTAAGAATTCTGTAAATTATGCATTTCATCTTGCATTTAAGAGATAGTATGAACTACATTATACATTTTATTATAATATATAATAAAAAGCATTATTTGCCATTTGTGATATTTTTTTTTATAAACTGACGGGAAAAAAAAATGGCCCCGGGTGAGGATCGAACTCACGACCTTAAGATTATGAGACTAAGGGTCTGAGCACAAGCACTGCCGTAACTTTTTACGACATACTTAAGTTGTAGACGTAAATAACGCACAAGCTTTGGCGTATCGGCGTATGACGTGTTTATGTACATTATTGACATATCTTTCGATAGCGTGCATAAACACGTCATACGCCGATACGTCAAAGCTTGTGCGTTATTTACGTTTACAACTTAAGTTGTCGTAAAATGTTACGGCAGTGCTTGTGCTCAGACCCTTATGCGCTACCTACTGCGCTACCGAGGCTCTTGTGACGATTATTGTAAGTATCAATGTTGGTAGATAGTAGAGATACTATAAAGGTCATCTACAATAGGCACGTAATATACGTAACGTAACCGTAACCGTAAGAAATCTCCTGTCGCTGATATCAGAGAAGCGCAACCGGCTTAAGTCAGTATCGCAAAATTACTAAGAAAAGTATTAAAAATGGCGTCATTTGCAGACGAAATATGAAATCCACCAATCGTCTATTAGTCAGCCATTTTTAATACCACTGAATGAATGTCATGATTGGCTGACAGTCAGCTAATCAGGACACGGAACATCGGTTGCGCTTCTCTGATATCTAGGACTCTACCGTAACCGTAAGAAATCTCCTGTCGTCTACAATGGCAGCCCGTAGCGATAACGTAAGGGCTGAGCACAAGCACTGCCGTAACATTTTACGACATACTTAAGTTGTAGACGTAAATAACGCACAAGCTTTGGCGTATCGGCGTATGACGTGTTTATATACATTATTGCCATATCTTTCGATAGCGTGCATAAACACGTCATACGCCGATACGCCAAAGCTTGTGCGTTATTTACGTCTATAACTTAAGTATGTCGTAAAATGTTACGGCAGTGCTTGTGCTCAGCCTTAACTGACGTAAGGAACTGTACTTGTATTGAAGCAATTGTACTGTTGCTATGATTGTACTGTCGGGGCAGACCTCTGTCGACGGTGTGGGTGGTGGACGAAGGCCACCTCCTTGCACCCACCCGTGTGTGTGTGAAATATCAAGTAATAGACTCATAATCATTATATAACGAATGGAACAGAATCGTAGAAGTCGTGTGCCCCTTCGCAGGGGGTTGGGGGAGGTGAGAGTTGCTTCGCCTGGAAAGTTTAACGTTTCTAAACAGAAGGAGATGTAAAATAGTACTTGTTACAATACATATATGGCAGAAATGATACGTTAATTTTGAAACTTTTTTTGTTAATAACTTTTTAACGGACAGTGACCGCCACCTAAAACCTGGGGGAGATTACTCAGGGTCATGACCTTGACAGCATATGTCAAGGTCAAGATCATCGGGGAGGAGCTCCTCTTTTCTATATATTTACCAAAAATTACATTGTATCAAATCTAATAAAAATGGTTGTATTACTGTAAAAGAGTATTCTAATTCTGAGGAATGTAGAGTATGTAAATTATTTAAACGTTTAAGAAAATTAATTTTGATACCTTCTCGACGAAAAATATTTATTGATTTTTTTAATTATAAGAAAAACTTCCAATTTCTCAAAAAATATTGTAAAAATGTCAAAGTTATTTATTATATTGAGAATAAATAAAAAAATTGTAGATCATGACAAAATCATGATTTCATATTATTCCATTGCGTAAAAAATACGAAATTAAAAAAAAATTAATTCGAAAAAATATAGAAGGAAAAATTTGCCCACGATCAAATTAGTCTTAAAAATCATCAAATAAATCTAAGTTTTTATGAGAATTTTTTTAAAAAAATTAAAAGTGTCATACTTTAAAAAATTAATAATTTTTTACATTAAATTACAAAAAAAATTAAAAAACAATTTTGAAACTTTTCTTGATATTTTTTTT